TCAATTTTGAGAATTTTAAAAGCATATGAATTTAGTACATTAAATTCGAGAACTTACGGAAGTCGATGAATTTTTCCCATGCTTCACACGGGGAGGGGGGAGGGGGAGATGGTCACTGGGTGTTTATAATTTTCGAGGAGGATCATATATACATGAACGCACACACATAAAGTTGAAAAGATTAATCAACCTCATTTAGTAGGCCTACACTGACTTTCATATCTAAATAATAAAATATATTAGTTGTCCCTCTCATACCGTTTTCTTCGATAATTATCAATATTAACAGATTGCAAAGGAGAACAAGTGTAGAGTTGGTGATTAGCCAATTGCACCCATTATCTTTACTAAGAAGTGCATAAAATCATGCAGACGCCTAGGTGTTGTTGGATATTTGCAAATTTATGGTACCTAAGACCTACGGTAACGTCTAAACATATTAATTTTTATCAGGAACGTAGAAAACAAATGCAATAGCTTTTTGAACTCTAGACGAAGAGTGCGCACACAAACGAGCTCAAAATTCCATAGTTTTTATTTCAGAGCAGGTATTACTGAGTACTATTATCTTCAATATGAAATAATCTGTATCTCGCTTATACATCCGAAGTTCAAAAATCTGACATTTAGGTAACATTCGTAATGGAATTGGTCTTTATATTGATAACTACCAATTTCAAATCAATTCAAATTTCCCCATGCTGTGATGTACCGACCGTTGAGCAAAATGTATCGGAAAAATTTCAATCCTTACTTATAAGGCTATTTTTAAACATTAGAGCTTCGTATGTGATATACATACAGATTACTTCATAAAATAAAACATATTACCAGGGAGTCTTGATCGAAGCATATTTCATGTGTAAAAGGACACAAAACTTACATTTTTATTTAAATGTATTTCACAAAACATTTTGTTATAAATCATGGTGATTTTTTTTTTTTTTTTTTTTTTTTTTTTATTAGTATAAAAGTGTTCCTTGAACATTCACGAACTCATATCTATGCGCAATGTCATAATCAAATGCCGTATGCATGATTGCAGCAAGCAGAAGTCCACATGGGTGTACCTGGGCGCTCATCAGCGACATACCTCCTAAGGTGCTGAGGGAGTCTCACGTCGCCTGCAAGACAACGATCCATAGGAGGGCCTTAATACTCGTTTGGTAGTTTCCTCATCCATGTACCTATACTATATGCTAGCTAACTCAATTTGACCCCCTGTCCCCCCCTCATCTGGGACAGTCCCCTTCAACATGGCTCTCACAGCTTAGAAAATGGACAGAATGGGATGAAGAAGAGAAGGAAAAGGGAAGGGGGAGAAGAAAGGAACATGCAAAAGTAGCTGAGGCATGAGCTGAGGCCCAAGACTAGGGTAATACCCTACTTTGCATCTCAGTCTCCATCTCCTAAACCCCCCTACAACAACAATAAGCAACAATTTTGGGTGGTAGATGAAGAGTAGTAATGAGGCAGGAGGGGGTAGATAATGAAGACTATACAGTAGATGGAGTGGAGAATGTTGCGAGAGAGGACGGAGTGCATTCTGAAGGTTGAGTAATGACCTGGGTGGATGGTTCAGAATTGATATTGTTGGTAAACATTTAGGTGGGAGTATAAGTATCATTAGTCAGAGCCATGGTCAAAGGAGGGGCAGGGGTCAGAAAAACAATGAAATAAAATTTAGACAGGCTAGTTGATGATAAAGCAAGCTTTAAAGCCCTTACAAAGAGGTAGTAAGAAATCTTCATCATTGGCCATAGTGAGCCTGAAATATGTGGGGAAAAGAAATGGCCTACCCCTCAGGGTCCACACAAAGGGTAAGGGCTAAGCAATTAAACAAGGGAATACCATACCCCTGGCTCTCATAGGATGTTCATGGCTGACACAAAGCCAGCCTTTCATCCTTTCAGCACAGCTCTCACACCTTAGGAAATGGACAGAAGTAAGGGATGAAGAGAGGGAAAAGGAAAGGGGAAGATGAAAAGACCATGCAAAATTAGTTGAGGCCAGGGCTAAGGCCCAAGGTAGGGGGTGATCCTCTCCATTGGGCCCCAGTCTCTGTCTCCTAAGCTCCCTCATGAAAACAACAAGCAAGGTTTTGGGGGTAAGGAATAGATAATGGCTCTTTATATGATCAATGAACTGTGAGATTGCGACCATATTGAATAGAATGTTAAGACAATAATAGCATTCTGGAATCAGACCATTACCCCAATAATTTGACTGTTATGTGAATGTATCTAATACCATTGTAAAGTTCTTTATCATACAATCTAACATACATTGTTATTCAGCAGCTGTGAATATTGTATGCATTTGTGTATTAGATAACAGTAGCATCATAATCTTTGTTGATATCATATTTATAAAGTATTCAATTAGATATAACCTTCATGTATTGAATTACAGGTTTAATTACCATTGAGTACTACACAGTGGCATCAAGCACACTGCTCTCACTAAAAATCATAGCTGTTCTTTGGTGGCCACACCTGGAATGTGTATTCTTACAATTTGCAGACACCTGTTTAATCCATCAGACACTATTTTCAGCTGTGGGCTTTTATGCATACTCTCCATCATTATTTTCACTTGTGACTTTTATATTCTTATATTTTTCATCAAGGTTCTTTCCTTTTTTTAACATGTATCCATGCAAGCAACTTGACTACGAATGAATGATGACATAAATGGTGTACAAGAAACACTTAATGAGGATTGGAAAATTATAAGGGATGCAGCAAATCAACAAGATGGACTAATGTAGCACAAGTGGATTGGAAAGAGCACACATGTGTAGATCTCCAGGTTGATACATCCAGTTCAGAAGCTATTGTAATCCAACAATAATTCTTTACTTCATTCAAGAGATAATAAGCATTATAGATAGCATGTAGATGAGTTTCAATGTGTTGATTTTCTACAACAATAAAAGGAATATTACAAGTATAAAACCTTTTTTTTACTAAAAATAGGTCTAGTAATTTCATTTCTACTTTTATTGTCTTCTGTACAAATTCATCAATTTTCTATACCCAGGAGAACATGAGTCATCAGAACCACTTGCATATCTTTAAAGTGGTCCTGGTGGAAAAGATATGTTTGAGAATGTGCCTGGGATATATTCACACAAATCCCCCTTCTTTCAAGGATTTTTAAGTAACAGAACTTTTTGAGTAAACTGAAAGTATCTCAGGTCTAGGTCTTACTACCTTTGAACTAAAATTTAGTTTACACTATCTGCATTTCTTTCTCTTACTTCCCTGTCCATCTACAGTTTCCTCAGAATCACTTTAATCCATCTTTACTTATCCCAATAAACTGCAGTCTGCTCTGTAGCAATGAAGTGACCCTCCACTGACAACTCTCCCCCAAAACCTGCTAATTTTCTTGTCCAGGGTGGAGTCTTACCCACAATAAATGTCTCTTAAAACTCAGTAGCCTGGATATCACCTTTTACACATGTCCCAACAAGGGAATATACATATTTGTCCAATGTAGTATTCACAAAACAACTGTGCATAGACGATGTAGATTACAGTGTCCACAGTATCATATAAATAGGAAAGGTAGCTTAAGTGTATTTGTCCTGTTGCTACTATCTGTTTACCCATGTAAGCTATTTCAACACTCCTAGAAAAACAAAAATAAAAACTGAGCTGAGAAGAACATTTTCTACATTCTGGGAAAACCTGGGTCTTATCATAATAAGCCCATCCTGGGGAAACCTGTATTTTATTAAAAAAAAAATAAATAATAAATAAATAAAAATAACACCAAAAAATCCATAACCTGGGTTCTATCAACCTTGTCATCATACTATATAGGATTCTATCACATTCCAGCATTTCTTCCACACTTTAGCATTCTAGCACATTACAGCATTTCATCATACCCTTGCAATTTGATCACACTCCAGGATTTGACCAGATTCCAGCATTTCTTCCAAACTCCATTATTTTACCATATTGCATCATTCTTCCTCATTCTATCATTCCTCCTTACTCTAGATTTCTTCCAGGATGCCACCACTCTTCATCAGTCTATCACTCTCTACCACATTGTCTCACTCCATCATTCATCCACATTCTACTACAATGCACCAGTTTATCACAATCTTGCATCCTACTAAAATACATTGCTCCGCCAGACTTCACAAGTTCATCACATTCCAGCTTTATAGCACAGTTCACCACACTAACACTCCACCACACAAACCACATTCTGACACATTACCACACTCTTCCATTCTATTTTACCCCACAGTACTCCTATATTTTTACACCATCACACAGCATATCATACTTCTACATTCCACTATATTACTCTATTACACTCCCATTCCATCACACTATCACACTTCATTCTATCCATGCCCACACAGTACAAACTCACAAAGATGTCAGTTTAAACTTTCCCGGGCCTCCTTCACAACACAGCACATATGACAACCCAGATTGTGGAATGGGTTTAATACAGCTCATTTACATTACCAATTAAGCAGATGGCATTTACAATGCCAATCAAGCATATTAAATCTGTTAGTCATTTTTAAGCCTTTAGGTGGCCACTCTAAATAAATATATACAAATCTTTGTACTCGCCCATATAAAAATTTAAGTTGTTTTAAATGAAGAATTACTGCACAAAAAAGAAGAAGTAGAAAATTCTTACCTTTCTTCTGCAGTGTCCAGTTCACTATAAGCAAATGAAGCATCCCGTCGCAGCCCAGTAAACTCTGCATCAATGGACAAAAAATCTGCTTTCTCTATTGCTTTTTCCACATCTGGGAGCACCTCCTGAAAATCTTGAGTATTAAAAGTTTACTAATATGTGCAAGGATATGGTTCAGAGGTAAGATGCACTCTTACCATTATTTAATAAAAATATTCACAAATAAATGAAAAATCCTTAAAATCAAACATTCACGCTACAATTCTAATATGACATCTCCAAACACTTAGAGTGAAAGGTGAAATACTTGAAACTAATTATCATGTTTCACTCATGCTGTTATTTTCTAATACACATTACTTGTAAGCAAAGTAGATATATATGTTTATTTCATATTTGTCTGAGTAGTAAAAGTAACAGATTGAATTACTAGCAATAAAGTTTTCTAGCTATAACTACCATAATCTTTATTATTATTACTGAAATTACAGTAGCCTTTTTTTTTTTTTTTTTTACCTATTTAACAAAAAAATATATGACTGATGTGGTCAGGTATAGGAATCTATCTGTTACCATTCATAATGCATCTTTTCCGGTGGCAATTAGGGTGTCGCGACACACGATGCGACACCAAAAGCTGTCTCGTGATCGGAGACGAGACAGGCCTCTAAGCTCCGCCCATTTCTGTGACGTAATGAGAATGATCACGGTTGATGGCTTGATATTTTACTGTACTGGTTATTTTTCCGACAGGTAAACAGTATTTTGGAATATGATATCCAAGATAGCTTTTGATATCTTATGGTGAGTTGTGCAGTGTTATAGATATCCAATAAAAGTATGAATATGCATGAAATATCCAAAGTAGGAGGAATGCATCTGGCAACTCATTTAAAGTTAACCGTCTGCTCGATTCCTGTCGCGCAAGAGGTGTCACGTTTCCCGTAACCGCTGGAAAAGATGCCTATAATTTACTCTAAATGACAACTCAAGGGGGGCCACCCCGTTGAATTTCCCAGGAATATTTTTTAAATCTAGCTTTTCCATTTTCTTTGATCAACCTGTCCTTGATACCCTAATTTATTACTTGGTAAATTTTTTTTTCAACTATCATTAAAATATTTCTTTCTGTATATAAATTTTGACTATTGGCATCCCTTCCGCGCAGAGCGTGGTGAGGATCTCCTTCGGGTATGGCTAGATCTGCAGCAACTCGAGGTGTCATGGCGTCTGATTCTATTTTCAGAAAAATGCACATGGAATATATTTTGATGACGTCACAATAGCTACGGAGGCTTGTGAATATGTTTGATCATTTTGGTCTCTTCAATTTTCAAAAAGGATGGAAAATAGTGATTTTAGTGGTCATATTTTCATTGAACAATCATCAAAACAGACACTATGACACTGATACCCTCACCTATGAGTGATTAATACTTTCTTTAAAAGGGGGACCAGATGCCTCATCATTCTCCAGTAATTCAACAATGTATACACAATCATATGTGAAAATTTCATGTCAATCAGATGAATACACATGACACGACAAGGACAAAATGGAAAAGAAATTAAGAAACCAATATCTCAAAATGCTGTTTTTTGCACTTCAAATAATTTCACAAAATTGGTGAAAACTCTGATTGACTTAAGTTGGGTATCATTTTAAACTTCAACAAAAATGATTTTTTTTTTTTTTTTGTAGGAATTAGATTTTTGAAATTTTCAAAGAAAACGGGATTCAGGAGCCCTAAAAAAAATCATTTTTTTTTTTCTTTTGAAGCCAAAACAAAAATTTGAAAAATTAATTCCTACAAAATGTAAATATATAAACAAAGATTCTATGATAAATTTTTCAAAGCATTTAAGTGAAAAATGAATTTTGTGAAATCAAAAAAAGAATATCATCATCACTTAGCCCTAACTTAGTGCATCCATACTGTAAAGATTAACCAATACCTCTGCTTAAACTTTAAGGTAAAGACACTAGGATACACATTGTGGTATCCTAGTAATAATAATATAAAGTTGCAGTTGTCGGTGTATGAAATATTCTGCAGATCCAAAAGGTAACAATAGAAATAAAGGAAAAGATAAGAGAAAGCGCAGCTCACTGCCTAAGTCTACTTTGTGTTCTCGCAATAAGAGCTAATAAACCTTCATTGTAAATCATCATCAAATCAGGAACAACTTTACGCACCCCTCAGAGGTGGAGGTTTTGCCACTACTTAATGTCAGAGGTAGACACTTTGGCATTGTTTAATGCAATCCTATGGTAAAAACTACTTTTAGGGAAAGTATGCCAGTTACTTCTTGCATACAAAAATATTGCTGAACTTCAGTTTAGTATGAGCATGGGGTTTCCTTTAATGAAGGGTATGTGCTCACAATTTGTTCATCTAAAATACACATATCTTCCCATTCTATCTTACTGACCAACAATGAAGGAAAGTTAGGAACAGGTCATGTCTAGTTTATGAGATGTCGAAAGCTGTGCTCATTTCGGCGACCAGATAGGTGGTATGGTCACTGTTCCTTGGTTCTAATGCATTTCACAAACATAACTACACTCACATTCATCGTAAGTTCAAGCCGAACTTACTTTTTTTGGTCACCTCCATTCTGCTCCTTCACGTCCAAGTTTTGCTTGTTTGCGCCGCCGCTGCTGGAAGGCTCAGCTGTAGGGTCAAGACACACTGCACCTGAATTCGTGCCAGCTATTCGTTTGATTCGCAGACGTTAGACAGTTAGTAGTCTCCGATATTCCAATTAAATTTGTCTTTGATATCTCAGTAGGACTAGTTTTTAAGGTGGGGCTTCAGGAGATAAGAAGCGCATTGTCATACGTTACTTCCCGTGTTTGGATGTACTGTACAAGTCCAGAAGGGCTTGAAGGGAGTCCCTCCCGCCCTAAATACTAAGGCATGTCTTAATCACACCGGAGAAATACGTTTCATTGCACAGGTTTAACAAGTAACTGTCACTGCAGGTGTCTCATTAACAAGTTTTATCAAACATCATATCCTCAAGCTTTGAAGAATCCCAGATACCTGCCTGAGTGACGATGATACTTGTTTTCCGTAGTGCCTGACAGTCAGTCAGTCTCTCTCCTCTCTCTCTCTCCTCTCTTACTCTCTTACTCTCTCT